TCATTATCCAGCATTATTGTAGTTCGTATTTAAAAGTATTAGCAGCGTAGTGTGGCCTGCACTACTGTACTAGTTACATAATAAGATGGTGAGAGAACTGATTTTTAGGAAGGATGTCTGACAGTGAGCAGAGGTACTGATTTAGGGGGTTGTTGGCCTGTCTGTTTTGCAGGTGCTTAAAAACAGTGTAGCTATAGGTCTTTGCACATGAGAATCTGTTATATTAAATGTAGAAAGTTTGCTTTCAGTTTCCACAGGCTGTGCCTCTGTCTTAGCATGTGTAGTGCCAAACAGATTATTCTGCAAGCTATCCAGTGAACTATAATTTTACTGCTGTCTAGTTTTGCTGCATGAGCCCCACAGACGCACATATCTGGTTTTTGAATGTGGGGAAACAAAATATTTTTGAGTTGATTTTGAATCCTCAATTTAAATATTCTATTCACTTGCCTCATACCACTTGTCTTCCAGACAGTAGCTTTTTGTTCCCTGTCTCAACCAGAAAAATCTTGGGGGAAGATATTAAAAAAATTCTTGTAGTTCATTAAAGAGTGAAGAAATCTATTACTGTGTTAAGCCAACCACCTGAAAGGCACTTGTGAGGATAAAACTGATGAGATCCTTACTGTAATACCTAGAAAGATTTTGATCGTAAAGAGAAATGCTATGGAGGAGTAGCCTGTATTTAAATTTATGCACAATAAAGCATTCCAATGTGATATATTAATGCTTTATTTTGTGTTGTCTCATAAGTCCTAGTGCTTGAGTCTAAAGAATGAACCAAAACATTTTAACAGCTTGATTCATAGTTTAGTAGATAAATATGTACTACATGATCTAGCTGTGATGATGGGAATGATTTTGTGAATGCTCAGATATTTAATACTATATTTATAGCTGAAGAAAAAAGGCTTTTTAAAATAAGGCTGATTTTTAAAAACTCATGGCAAAAGAGCAGCATATTTTTATATGCATATTTCTATATCATAGTTTCATTGCTATAGACTTTTGAACAGGGAAAGAATGGAAGAAATACGAGAACATAGATGGTAGCTGAAATACATCAATTTGTACTGAACTGATAAGAAAATAGCATGTAGCAATGATGTTGCATTTTGGGATACTTTAATTTATAGTAAAGTTTGGGGTTTTTTATAATCTATTATGTGTTTCAGTGTCACAGAAAGAGACTTATCAGTATAGATGCTACTAATAGACTCTGGTCTGATATTTTTATCCTAAGGATAACTTCTGTCTTCTAGGGAAGCTTGGGAATTGGTTATTCTGCAATTACATGTTTCGAGGAGCTAATTTTTAACTTCCAGTGCCTTAAGGAAGGTATAAGTCCTTAAAGTAGGAATAGCTTTTCTTCTATGGGAATCAAAATGTTTTGTGCATGAATATGAATGCAGTTATATGTAGCAATTAGGTGCTGTATTAGTATCTGAATTAGCAGCTCTGGAATATAGCCAGTTTGTGGCCAGGAAAGCAGCCAATAGCCTGGAGGAGAAATGTTTTAATTAATATGTAATAACTGCTCTAGAGAGCGCTTGTTATTCTGGCAAGCTGCATTTCATATTACTTATTTGGGACAGTTGTAATTTTATTTAAAAAATGTGGAAGACATTTCATTGTACTTTTTTCATACTGAGTGAAAAAGTGTAAAGATGCTTGAAAATTTAGTTGAGCAAAATGAAGTTGACAATTACTTGGTTCTATGGAATATAATCTGTAGACATCAGTTTCTTCATAAGATCAAGAGATTGCAGCAAGGATTTTTTGCCTTAAGGAAATCAGTGATTTATACATGTGCTCTTCTGCTTATATTTTAATTATTTCTGGTGCTAGGTTTCTTCTCAAAGGATGAATACAGTAAGTTTTCTTGAACTATGCATCCATGTAAAGCTAGACTTCAAGAACGTACTTTGCATTAAATAATAAAGCTCTTCATACAAGATACACCAGCAGCATCTCTTTAAATGACAGCTTTAAGTTAGTATGAGAGTCTTGTGTCCTACAGAAATGTAATTTAAAGGGCTCCAGTTTTCATCGGGTAGATAAATGGTAAAGCACGGGCTCCCACTTCTGCAGTTTAATTGCAGAGTCATTCCAAAACACTTTGGATAAGGTTGCTGTCCTTCTTAACTGTCTGTTGTGTTGAAAATCAGTGGGGAACGTTTCTTCTCTTTTAGACTTTGCATGTCATTGCTTTAACAAAGAAGAGAGAATCAAGTTATAAGGCAGGCATACTTCTTTCATTAGTACCTGGAAGCATGAAGAGGCAAAGTCAGCAGGTTGTTAACTGAATGTGATTTGAGCTGAATGTTTTCACTTCAGGCTTTTATATTCCAATTATTTTATTAGCTGTATAAGCCATTAAAAAGTACTGTAAACTATTTGATCTCACTAAAGAGAATGCTAATTGAATCACAACCCGTGCTAACTGGAAATTAGGACACTGGTCTTGTATCTGTGGCTCTGAAGTAATTTAGTCTGTGATTTTATGCAAACTATTTAACCTCTGTTTAAGTTGCCCAGTTTCTTTACCTGTTTATCTCCACGAATGGGGTGCATGTACCTGTCCATGTGAGATTGGATTCTCATAATTTGTAATCTGTGGGCTTGTCTAGTGCCACAGTTGTCATTGTCTTCTCATACCTGGGCAGGAAGGCTGGCAGGAGGGTCAACTGTTCCTTGCTGCCTTCATACCACTGGGAATCTGAGGACATCGAGTCCTGCAGTGTCCACTTCTTGAGATTTAGCTGCCTTTTCTCTTGGCCTTGCAGATACCCCAGGTGCCATAGGTACTCTGTAATTCTTAGTGCTGCTCTGCAAGTCTTGCAGAGATGCTGAGGACTGTTCATGGTGGTGGAGCTACCAATTATTTTGAGGGGGGGTGTGTGTGCGTGTGACAAAGTCATGGACATTCTACCTCCTAGTGTTTGCATTTTCCTTTGGACAGCAGAACTGCAGGCTCTCTACAGCTCACTCTGGGAACGAGAAGTAAAGTGATGAGTCTTGTAGAAGCTGGACTACTTAGAAGCTTCGCAGCTGTCTGGTCTCCAGGCTGTATGAGAGCATGTGCTCCCTCCTGAGTCCTGTTCACAAGTTGTAGTTGGTATAATGTTGTCTTGCAACACCAAGAGCCATCTGGGCTGTAAAATGGGACAGATCTCAAAGTGATCTCCTGCCAAGGTGCATTTGAGCCTTCCTTGACTGCAGAGGAACAGAAAGGGCAGATCTTTCATAAATCTGGTCTTTGCCTTTCAGTCAGTGTCACAGGGGGCTCATTCTTCCTAGTCTTTTGTGCTATCCCTTCATACCCCTCGTGTTTCTGCTGCAGAGGTGCAAGGCTGGCAGGGCTATCTTGTCTAGGTTAGTTGTACCCAGGAAACGCAAGAAATACCATAGAAGTATGTCACTCTTCTTCAGATCGCACCTTGAAACTCCATTATATTTATCATAAGCTCAGAAGCCCTGCCCCAAACAGTTAGGTCATGGTTCATTGAGATAATTGTTTGCCCTAAAATAAAGGGTTTATTTCTTGTGCTCCCATTTCTGGTTTTCTCTAGCCATCTGTTCTCTTTGTAACCCCTTTCAAGGACAATTTTTTTGTTTGCTTGTTTGTTTTGCTGTGTCTTCCTTAGCACCTTGCACAATGAGGTCTTCATCAATGTGTAGGGCTCATAGGTGCTTAAACAACACTACTTCTAATACTGGTATCAATAGATATACTTGCAAATATCCTTCATTAGGTCTCTTGGTTATATTTTTTTTTTCCCCCAGATTATTTTATTTGCCCTTATCACTGAATCACAATTGTTTATCTAACTGTGTCTTTAGAAATGATTATTGCAAGCAAAATTATAGTTACACAGATTTAAATCTATTCCAGGTTGAGAGTTCTTTCATCCTGTGTACAATTAAAAAAGAAATTAGAATACTTCTTCCAATGCATCTTGCATCTGCAACTTTTTCCACTACCTGTTTAGAGCAATTTTTTTTTTCCCCAAGTAGATGGGGACATTTACCCACCTGAATATATTTGTTGTAACTATTGTGCTACAGCAGCTTGATCTACCTTTATGCCCTGGGAGAACTGTTAGGTGTAACATCAGTAATACATGTTTGAAAGATAGATTAGGTGAGAGCAGGTAAACGATGTGGTTCTGAACACCTGTATGAAGTCAAGCAAAAAGCTGACTTTTAATGTAAAATGAATGAAATTCTCTTCTACCTAGGTTATTTGCAGATATTTTTGGTACACGTGGAATAAAAACCACACTTGTGGCTGAAAATTCAGTGTAAACACCTGAACTGAATCTTAATGATCTAGACTCATTTCTAAACAAAGTACAGTTTTAACAACGTCTGTAAAGCTGGAGCAGTATCAGATGCAGCAACACTTTTCCATTATACATGGAAATGGTTGTGCTAGCTCAAGTTCATTTAAAGTAAAATCATATTCCTAATGTGTGTATTACAATATAAAGGCCTATTGTTGTTTGTTTACTCATTATTAATGTTCACTATGATCTAGATCTATGTAATTAAGTTAAATGGTTATTTTTTTTCAGGAAATTTAGCTGTTTAAAGTCATTAAAGTTTAGGATTAAATCAAGTGAACATGCTAATTGATGTCAGAATGGATATGGAGCCCCAAAGGTATCTTTAACGGCCTAGTAATCAGTTTGAATACTAGCTTAATTACTGGAGGAATAATTGTGGTGTGGGTTTTTAAGTCAAAGTAATAACTACTTCTTTAGCTAATTGTATTCTGTGAGCTGATAAAGTCTGAATCAGTTGATTACATAAATTGCTCAAGCTCTTTTACCATGTTAGGTAAATATATTTTAAAATGTGTTTAAATATTTTTAAAGCAGTTACCAAATTGTTACCCAACTTTTATCTAAAATTTTATGTTGCTGAACTAAAACAAATACTAGCTGAAAACTTAAATCCACAGGTCTTCTAAAATGCCATCTTTTTCTATTTTGCAGCATGGGTGAGTTCTCTTTCTATGGGGATGGTCTTCTTCTGTTCTCCAATAGTCAGCATATTCACAGACCTGTTTGGTTGTCGAAAAGTAGCTGTTACTGGAGCTGCAGTAGGGTTTGCTGGACTCCTGTCAAGTTCTTTTGTAAGGTAAAAAATTATTTTCTTTACACTTGAATTCTTTTATCAATTTTGCAGTGTAAAGGTAATGCCGATCCCATCAACACGATATGGAGTAAGCAGTGCTACTTGATATTATCTGAGTAGAAACCTTGCTTTAGTTGTTTGTGTCTTTCTAACTATGATTTGTGAAAACTCCAAGTGGTCCTTTCAACTTCAAAAGTAATTTAAAAAATATAATATAACCTCTTAACAGTGCTCCCTATTTAACAGGAGCCACTATGTATAAATGTATCAACAGCAAGACTAATGCCATAAGATCAACAGCTGGATAAACTTGTATGTTTGCTTCATGTATGCTGTTTTCTAGCAGGTATATAAACATTGATCTGTCTTCCCCCACGCCCCTGGCCCTGTCCCTTCAATTTGCTTTCAAAACACTGTTTTAATGTTGATAAATATGCAGTAGGACCTCCAGGAACATGTTAATGTTCTAGTAAAATTTGATGTTTTCTTCTATTCTCACTGGTACAATTGCCAAACACAGAAATAGGAAAAACCTTGGTGTAATGACATAGGGCTTACTGGCTTTATTAAGAAAACCTCAGTTCTTTCTTGTGTTGAAAAAACTTGAACAGTAGTTGAAGTGTAACCTGGATCAAAAAACCCACTGATTTCATACATTTATGTAACTTTTGCAGAATAAATCCTAAGAAGTTCAAGAGCAGCTGATTTGTTGGATATGCCCAGTAGAAGATGAGGAAATGGGAAATTTACTCGCTCATTCTAGTCATCAGCAGAAATTGGTTAGTGAAGATAGGATACGAAGTAGCAGGAAAATAAGCCACAGTTACCTCTAGTTCTTAGTCTGCTTTTTCCCCACCCTTATCAGTATAAGCACAGGAACAATCAAAAGCAAAATTTAGAAGAGCTTCCTACACAGATGATAATATATCTATACAGACAGGTTTGTGAGAATGTGTTTTCTCTGCCTGTACTTTGAACCAGATAGCTGTGAGCTGGCTGTGATCTGGATGGATGAAGAGCCATGCAGTGTGGGACTGACTATGCCTGAGCTGATATGTTTAGTTTCAGCATATGTCCTCCTAATGTGAAAACTTACCCACAAATTTACAGGACGAAAAGACAAATAGTTCTGTCTTAAGTATAGAGACTAGTGTTTATACTTGGAATAACCTGTTTTTATGGGAAAAAGAAAGCTTTGTTTTCTTGTTGCTTCAGCAAGTTTCTGCTTTCTATTTTTTTTTTTTTTCTTAATCCAAGTGCACATACTTTGCTTAATTCATTTTTATTAAATCAAACAAAAACTCGACTTCCTGATATGTTTTAAGAGGCTTGTTACCACAGGTGAGATAAACTGAAAGAACGCAACTTGGAAAAGTCTTTCTTCTTCCTTGCTTCCCAGTAGTGTGCGAAGTGATGAATACTAAACCAATCTTATTATAAATTAAATCCCTGGATAAAGGAAAGATGTTTCCTTCTTTGAACAAAATGCTGTCATCCTTGTGTTTCTCTGATATCCAATGGAACAAGGCCACAGCAGAGGCATGCAAAAGCAAGTTATTTTGTAAAGGTTTTAAAAATATTTTAGCTCATTTGAATTTTGTTTTAGAATTTGAGTTGTTCTGTTAGAGGAGGGGTGAATTCGTGTTAGAGTACACGCCATGTTAATGTGCCTTCTTGGTGTTTCCTTATGGTACTTACACTACAGTGACTTGTGCCTATGATGTTATCAGTTAATTGAGGGAGCATATTTCAGATACAGAAGTCAATGTTCTAAAAGTAAAATACTGTACAGTAGATAAATGTAAATATGATTTACTGCTTTTGTTACATACTGATTTCTTAATATAAGTTTTATCTCTTCGGAAGCTGAGATGTAAGAGTATTTGTAATGCAGGAAGATATTTCACTATATGTCACGCTGCAAAGTCTTTGACTGAATCTACAGAGGGAAGCTAAAGTTCTTTGTCCTTTACCGTATTATGTTCCTCTTCTCATTTTATAACTTATGCTTTTATTTTTCCTGGTTATTTTCTATTGATAAAGGTAATTGGTCTTTCCCCCTTACATTGTTTCTGCTGGCTTACCTTGTGTATAATCAGTCTTGGAGATTGCTAGTTTAATGTAGAAAGCAACAATATTATTTTACACAAATATTCTTTTTCACAATCATACCCAAAACCAGAGTTGCTGGTGTCAGACCTTTGTCAGTCAAATACTATTTTCTAAGAATTTCTGTAATTGCATGCAAAGCTTTGTAGAGTGTATTTTGGTACAGAGGGGGGCTGGCAGGTAACATTCTACAATGAGAAGCACTACATAAAGCATTCATACTTCTTAAAAAAAAAAAAAAAGTTAATATACTGGCTAACAGGTTAAATGTTTTTTTGTGATGGCTTTAAGAGCAGGCGTTAGCTGATAGAAAAAAACCCAGGGTTCACGGAAAACCTAGTATTAAGAAAACATTTCTCACACATTGCCTCCTTTATCTAAATGTAAAAAAATGTCTCTTTTGACTCATTAATACTATAATGCTAAGTTAATTATACTAACACTGTTATTTCCTACTTTTAAGATTTCTTGCACAAGTACCTTTTAATGTCCCATGTCTGCCTGTAACCTCATACGATGGCTCTGCTTCATTTCAGTTGTATGGTAGATGGTAATGGTGGAGAACCTTCTGATGAAGATCCTCCTTAATATGAGCTGAAATATTGCATTCTTTATTGATCTTTTTTTTCCTATTTCTTTCCTAGCGTATCCAATATCTGGATCAAAACACTGAATTTAGAATATTTAATAAAAAGGGGATTATTTGTTTAAAAAAATTAATACCAAAAAAGCCTATCATTTGTTAATATATTACATTACCAAAACATGACAGTATTTTTGTTTTACTTTTCATTATTAGTGATGTTTACTACTTTTGCTACTGTGTTTTCATAATAGCTATGTAAATACTTGATTTTTTGGGGGATTCATAAGGAGTGTTCAGCATTATGTTTGAACTGCTAGCACAGTGAAGAAATGTGTAAATCAAAACAATATAATTTTTCTTTGGAAAAGAGACAATGAAAACCCCAGCAATAGTTGAACTTACATTTGGCTTGTTCATCCTGACAATGATTTTAAAAACCTTTTTTTTTAGTCAGACTACTTTGTGTCATTATACTTAAATATAATTTTGCTTTTTTACCTGCTTAGTGACTTCTGTGAAGTTTTCAGTGGAAGAAAATAGACTAATTATTGAATTAAGTTGGCAGTGTATTTCAACTATGAGGACATACAAACTCTTAACTTCTGTAAATATGTCAATTCATTGAAAACCTGTCTTGCATGTGGTAGGCCAATGTGAGCCTACAGTGTTGTACAAAACACTAATGATTTTTAAATTTTTTTCTTTTGATATAGCACCATTGAACCTCTGTATTTCACCTACGGAGTCTTATTTGCCTGTGGCTGCTCATTTGCGTACCAGCCATCCTTGGTCATTCTTGGGCACTACTTCAAGAAGCGCCTGGGACTAGTGAATGGCATTGTCACCGCGGGCAGCAGCTTGTTCACCGTGTCGCTGCCCTTCCTCTTGAGAGTTTTGATCGATTCCGTTGGCCTATACAACACCTTGCGGGTCCTGTGCATCCTTATGTTTATTCTGTTCCTGGCTGGCTTTACATACAAACCCCTTGTTTCCAACACCAAAGACGAGGAGGGAGGAAAGAAGGGAAAGTTCAGATTTCCTCCTGAAAAAAAGATCTGCAATTTCTCCGTTTTCAAAGTTCCCAGTTACCGAATCTGGGCTTTCGGGATCCCAGCCGCGCTCTTTGGATACTTCGTGCCTTATGTTCACTTGGTAAGCAGATGTTTCTTCCTACATATGTTGTATTTAAAACTGCAGCTATTTCCCTTTGTGTTACGGACTAAGAAAATGATTGGTGATAGGAAGCAACAGTTAAAGTGCAAGTTGTGTTGGGGAGAAATGTGAAATTAATTTTGATGTTGCCTGTGATTAAAAGAGGGTTCTAATCAGAACTATTAGTTGAGCCAGTTCAAATTTTAGTTCCTCGTTCTCAATCTAGGGTTTAAAATACTTTAACTGTGAAAAGAGACATTTGAAAAGTATTCTCTATTATTCCAAAGAGAATTCTTTATTTTGGTACTCAGCTGCATACATTGCCAGTGATACTTGTTCCATTATTCCTCTGAAATGCACAAGTAAATAACAGAAAATGAGTAAAACTTCTAATTTTTGCTCCTTTAAATTGAGGTATGTTTGTTAAATTGTACATTTTTACTGTACCTTTTCCAGGTTTATTAAAAGCAAAATACTTGGATTTTTCTGTGTCTCGAACTTCAACTTTGTAGTTTACCACTATAGCGCCGACATAACAGATCCTGTTCTCTGGTGCTTCCAGCTGCCAACTCAGCTGGTTTTTATTGCCGTCTGCAGTAACTGATAGAGCTTTAGCTTCTGATGATGGGGAAGCTGTCAATCAGCCATTTCTTATACATATACTAAAGTTAATTTGTTTCCCTAGCAGAATTTATTTTTTTTCTGTAGTACACTTAATGTAAGAACTTCTGATGCAACTGGAAGATGCATTACATGAGGCGTATCTGGCTGGCACTCATTGCACAACTTAAATGGTGAACTGTTTTTGAATGGCTTGCTGGTGGTGCTGGCTAAACTCAAGTGGTGCAAACCAAAAGGCTTGAAAGGGAAAGGGGAAAAAAAAAAAAGCCCACAGCCAGCAGTGGGATGCTCTATTTAGACCATTATACATCCTCATATTCAAGTAGTACATGGTAGAGAGCATGGACTAGTAGAACGAGTACCCACTATGAAAACAGAAGGATCATATTAATATTTATTATTCATCCATGATAGAACAGTAAGTTTAATGGTAATAAATGCCTTGAATTCTGTCAGAAATCTTCAAGTCCTTAAAAGCCCACAGGTTTGTATGTAATATAGCAAATGGTATCACTGCTTTCTGGTAATACATCGGTTAGATTACTGACTCTGCATCAGACACTTATTTTAAAAATTACCTTAGGATGGGGGCTTGGGTTTTTTTGAGCAGTTGTAAACTGACTTTTATTCATGGCTAGATCTTGTTACTTGGTTTTCAAACGTGTAGATCTTACTCTATAGCACATGGAATTAGACTATTTCAAAGGATTGTACAATCAGATGACTAAGCTATTACGACATCTTATGCTATTTTCCCATAAGTTTTGGAGAGATGTTTTGAAATAAAACAGTTCTCAGAGGAGTAGAAGGGAAGTGGTGTAGAGAAAGCTATTGGATAGATTGTAAATGATTGTTAACACTTGCAGGGAACTGAAAAACAAAAATCTATATGAGCTATCATATAGAACCTCTAAAATACATTTATTTTACAAAAGGCTTGTAATTTTTTTACCAAGACACTTGTATGAATGCTTCTTGTCTCTACATTGGACTAAAGCTTCTGGACAACTTGTAGAGGACAAACACCTTTTTTTTTTTTTCTTAATATTTCTTTTTATAGTGTGCTTTCACTCCTGTTGAGTGTTTCCCTCCCCCCTGCATCAGATTGGCACAAATTCTGATTGCAAAATACAGCTCCAGTACAGGAAAACAACTTGATCAAGGCTGTTTCTAATATAATGTTTGATAACACTATAAAACTATTCCAAAGTACAGTTAGAATCTAATATTTTAAAGATTACATCAAAATTATACTAGGAGATTTAAATTCCAGGTTTTTTTTTTGCTCAGAGTATCAGAGGAGCCATGAAGCTTAACTATTTATAACATAAAATTTTCAGTGGCAGTCAGATTGCTTTGTATGTCACTTTTGAGAGGGGAAGCTTCACCAGCTCTTAGGAACCCTTCCATGATAAGTTTTATTATCAAAACCTCCTCCTAAAACACACAACTTTTTGTTTTAATTTATTTGTCTCTAAATACTCACTTTTACTGTAGAATTTTCTGGTTGTCCTGTAAACTAGAGGAAAATCTTCTCAAAGGTAGAGTAAGCTCCCACTACTTTTAAATAAAACAATTCTAAACAAGAACCTTAGCTTTCATTCTTGGTTTTTCAGATAGCATTATTAAATGGAAAATAGGTTGATTTTTTTTTTTTCCTTTAATCTTTTAAAACATGTGATTATTTATGATTCAGATTTCTATCCAAAATTTAATTTAGGTACCTTTCAATATACACAAAGAATCCATGGAGGATTGAGGTACTACTTAGCTTGTGTTATATACCGAGGACTCTTGACCGTACTCTGAAATATTTAAAGCTGAAACCAAACCTTGATCAGTGAGTATGATAGGAATGGTAAGAAACAGTATGAGTTGGAATAAAATTTCATGTGTTTATACTGATAAAGAAACTACATAGGTACCATCCATGTCACATTTCTGTTTGCTTATGTATAGGGTCCATTAGGTATTATGTAAGTGCTCACTTAATATTTCCGAAATCTTGACATACAAATATTTTAATAAAGTAATCCCTAGCTTTACTGATGTTGAAATGGAAAATTAAAACTTGAATTTCATAAATGGCAGTATTCCCACTTCCAGAATGTATATTTTTCTAACCTTCAGCCTTGGATAAGTGATCAGGATAAAAAGAGTTTAATATCTGCGGGTCATATATTTAAGATTATTTTATAATTATTTTGTATGTCATTGCCAAGGATGGATGTATCCTCAGTAGCAGAAATCTTTGTAATAGAAAGGAGGAGTTTGAATTGCTGTGTTGGAGGACCTACAACCTGTAGTTGTAGGACTAACAGTAAACGTGCTGCTTGGAGCTTGAAGAACGATGTGTTCTTGCAGTAAAACCCATTATTTCTGTAATTATTTCTACATAAACCTAAACTCATTCAAGAATTTAGGTCTGCTTTTAGAACTAAGCAAACACCCCTCTAACTCAAATTTACTAATGCAAAAAGAAAGGAATTGAAAGAGGTATTCATTTTTATGAAAACATGAGTAAGTGAGGAACCATAGCATTTATTACTGGTGGGCAATGAGGGGGAGTATTTAAAACCTTAGAAAGTGTCTGGATCTGTTTGAGAAATTGAATAGATCAGTGTTTATGAAGGAACAGCATGGATTCTGCCCTTCAACACAGATACTTCAACTCAGTAGATAGCTCTGGGCTTTTTCTATCCTAGTTTTGTCTGCTTTTGATAAAAAAACCACATTTTACATACTTCCAGATGAGTCAAAGGCTATAAGAAAAAAATAACTTTTTGCTGGTACATCTACCAAACCAGAGATTACTTTCCTCAGCTTTTGAAAATGAAAGTTACTATTTTTTCATTGTTTACTGCATTTTTAAAATTGTAGCAGTACTGGAAAAGGGATATGATACTCGGACAAGTGACAGCTTCTGTTATGCTAGAACTCTTGAAATTTTCCCTCTGTTAGGGTTGGTCGGTGGTAGCGAGACTGCTCGAGTGGGATGCTGGTTGCAGGAAAAGTCACTTGCACGTGGAGCCTCCTACCCACAGCTCCTCCCTTAGCCCTCAGACCTGGTTCCTGTACTTGCCAAGTCCCGTTTTCCCCCACCTGGAAAGGCAGTTGCTGCCAGTGTCTTGACTCTCTGTGACAAAGCACAGGTGCCCCCAGGCCCTCCTGTTAGGGTCCTCGTGTGTCACCAGGTAGCTGCAGGTGGCAGGCTTGGTGTGCGCTGGCCACTGCCCGCCAGCCGCCCGGGCTTCCCAGGCAGGGTCTCCTGAGGCCAGCTCCCATTTCTGTTTGTTTCTCTTGCCTTTGCTGAAGCATGCTGGAAAGGAGGAAGCGTGTTGTGAAACTTGTAGTGAGGAAGAAATTAAAGCTTGCTTTGGGCTTTGGAATAAAAAAATTAGCCAAGTCTTTGCAATTTTAGCCGTCTGTACTGTATTTGCTAGATAAGAGTAAAAGCTGTTAAAAGCAGAGAAGATAACCTGCTAATGAACTAGGCTCTAAGTAAAATTAAACAAATCAACAAATTAATTATATGACGTGCTAGATAGGATTCGTATCAAGGAGCTGGCAAGAATTACTAGTCCCTGACTGGTAGATATCAGCTGCATGCAAAAGTGGCATCATATTCCTTTTGGCTCTTGTAAGGGAGAACCAAGAAGGGAGAGCTTTTCTTATCCCAGTTTATTTGGTGTCAAATTCCATTAGTAGGTGTTCCATTCCATGTGATTTGGGGGAATTGGGTTGGGAGAAATACTATAAATAGGTTTTGACTTAATTTTATTATATACTTTTAATTCAGATCGAGCTTGCTAGGTCAAGTCTGTTGAAATTTGATATAAGGTCACGTTTTAGGTAGTTTAAAAGATACACTGTTGCTTTTTGGGCTTTATTTAACAGGGCAAAAAGAAGCACTGCTTAAAATGGATGTCGTCACTGCTGCAGTCTTTTCTAAATAGTGACTAAAGTCAATACTAAGGTTCAGTAGTTCAGGACTATCTTAATTAGGATTCATTTGCAAAAAAAGGGGCCCAGTATTGTGTATGTTTTGATATAGCAAAGTTCAGCCACTATGAGGAATACTCGTAGGGCTGAATATCTTATTAACACTCCCAGTGCAGTGTTTCAGTCCTGTAGTAATTTGTCTTGGGACATTTACAGAATCTCCATTGATTCAGTTTCAAACAGAGACATGGTTTGGTGTAGCAGCTACTTTTATTAAATGACTCTTGCTAATGATAGGTCCTGTCTTACAGTATATGACACCTTGTATGATGAAAAACTGAAGAACTGAATAGTTGGCAAATAGTGCAAATATTTATTGCAGGTTTTACTTTTAAAAAAGCAACTGGATGGTAGACAATGCAATAAAAATGTGAATT